TACTTTCAGCATTGTTTGCCTCATGTGAAGTGCTTGTTTCACCCTCCATTATATTATTTAAAATATTTTATTTGCTTAGCCTTAGCCCTATGTCAGTTGTTTAATCCTATAGTTATTATCTACCTAATTTTAAATTGACTTCCTATTAATTTAATTTAATTAAAATAATCCTATCTAATGTTTATATGCTAGCTAAAAATTTATTAATACAAGACTTTGCTAATTTAAATTAATAATTTATATGTAAATATTATGTTTTAACTCACGAGTATTTTATCGAACTAGAATGAAGGATAAGAACCAAAGCAAACTTCAGCTCGAGGACAAAACAACAGCAGAAAACGATGAAAAACACTTTCAACTTTATATTTTCTTGTTACAGCTAGAAACAACTCATTTAAATTCAGATATTTTTGCGCCAAAACATCTTCAAAACATTTTGTCAGGCTATGGCATAGCTGGCAATGGCAAATTCGAACAAAATTTTGGCTAACATTTGTCATTTTCATGAAGCTAAAAATGGCATTTTTGAAGCTATAGGATTAAAATAACCTTGAAATCTAATGAGATTAACTATCGATTGGGCTTATTTTTCAAAAAAATTTAGCCGATCGCCAGTAGAAAAGCTAACTCACCTGTTTTGGTTGATGTGGTCAAGTTTTCGCGAGCGAATTTAGGGGAGGCGTGTGTACAACTGGTCGTCTTCACAACAAATTTTCTTCGCCACTAATGAGCCGAATTTCTTTAAATTTTCTACATGAGCACTGCCAAACACCCTCGTTATTTTCCACACACAATTGCTATTGATCGAAGCCGAATAGAGTAAAAAATCCGTCGTTGTTTCCTCCCGAACGAAATCGCTCGCTCATGCGACAGCCATTTCGTTCGAAAGCAACCTACAGCCTCCTACCGTCATGCTTAGCGGGCATATCGCTATTACGCAAGTGGTCAATTGATCACAGTAGGAATTTTGCATAGGCAAATTCTAAGTTGTGAAGGATTTGTAAGAAATGTTTGATGGAACTGACTCAGTGTTTAACATTAAGTCAGTTTCCTCAAACATTTCTTACAAATCCGTCACAACTTAGAATTTACCCATGCAAAATTCCTACTGTGATCACAGAAACTTTGATAGTGTAAGACCAGGCTTATTTTTGTACATTCAACATGATTTCCAACCTTAGTATCGTCAAGTAAAGACTCCATGTCCTGCATAGATGATCGGATCTAAATTGGGGAAGAACATTTAGGTTTCATGAGCAGGGTGGATTTTAACATTTGAAATATTGGTCTAGCTTGTTTAGCTAGCCAAGCCTGTACTATATGCTCACACAATGGCCAGATTACAGCCGTGTTTCAACTGTCAAAGAACTAAAATTCAAGACTTACCTGTACCTAAATAAAATCTAACTGAGGCTTGTAATCCCTTACACTGGATTAAGTATTATGGATTTTACCATTATACGCATTAAAATGAAGTGCTGTATTGAAGTTGGTTTCAGTCAAACTTGTTTACAGGCCTGACCTCGTGACTCGTGTTTCAACATTCAAACTACCTCAAATCATAGTTAATAGAATAGATGGTTTGAAAACGCATTAGAATAATAACAATATAACTCATTATCTATGTTAGTCAACGTTTATTCATAAATATGTTTCTTCACCGTCACGTGCGTATTGTATTTTTGCCCAACTAACCAATAATAGCAATGTTTTAGGAAAGTTACCTATCCGTGACTCGAACAATAGGGTAAACTGGAAATTGCTATTGGTGGATTTGGCAAAAATACAATACACACGTGACGGTGAAGGACCATATGTATGAATAAACGTTGACTATAAACATCGATAATGAGTTATATTGTTATTCGAATGAATTTCCAAACCATCTATTCTATTAACTATGCTCAAATATCATGGTTTCATAAAATCATTGTTTCAGCATGGATCACAAAAACACTGGATAGGAAAGTGATGATCACGCATGTTTTTAACTATCCCTGGTTTCAGGTATGTCCTCGGTAATTCTTAAGTTTCCCTGACAAATTTACTTTCTCGTGTGTACGGTCAACAAGTTTTCCTTGACAAGTTTTGTTGTTCATGTGCACAGAATGTTGTTCAACATTTATCTCACGTCAAGGCCGCCTAAGTTTGTTTGCCAAAACCATAAAGTATTTCTTGTTCACTTGTCAATTTTTCCTTGACGGCCGTATACACGAAGTTTCCCTTGTCCAAAAGCTGGCATGGATAGCATTGAAACGAGGCTCTTTGGCAAGGAAAAATTGTCCATTTTTTGCCTTACACACGAGCAAATAAAACCTGTCAAGGAAACGTTGTCCGTCTGTGTATGGAGCTTAACTCGGTGGGAGAAGGTAGGCCTATATATTATCACTGTATTTTCTTCTTATGCAAACTAATTCTACTTTTTTTACTGCTATTAAAAAACTGAGATGGAGAGGCTCGATAGTCTACCTACCCCGCTATCGTCTGAAAATTTCGAATCCGTTGAAATTTTCCTGTCAAATATTACTTCGCTGATATCAACTTGCCAAACTGATCGTTTCAGAATTCGTTCACGTTTCCACTGCCTGTAAAAAAATGCAGAATAATGTCAAACAATCTGCAATGAATGGAATTTATCTGCCAATGGAATATGTCCTTTTTGGACTGGGAAAGTTGGATTTACTGCACTGGAACTATGGGATTTAACCACTGGAAAAAGGATAAAAAATGGAATTTCTCTTCTTGAGTGGTCTTTGACTCTATTATTCGATACAACAGCTTAAAGTCCTTTAATAATCCTATTTTTCAAATCACTAAAAAACGCATCAGAAAACACATCTAAACACATTTTTCGCCTGATCTCGCCTTCTTGCCGCGAGCAAGCCTAGCCACATCATGTTTTCATGCTCAGCTGTTTGTTGTCCATGGAATGAGATCATCATTTTCAACTCATTAATGGCATGCATTATTTTTTAAATATCCTCTATGGATGGGATTTCACATTTCGTAACTGGGACTTGGTCCAAAATTAGACTGGAAACTAGAATTTGGTAACCGCCCCTTTCACGCCCTCTATTAACGCTTTATCGCTGGCTTGATGAAATAAAAACCATCTTACCTGACAAATAAAGCGATCAAAACGACGAAAATGACCACGAAGACAACGGAAATCGTAGTTGGTATAATAATAGATTGCGTGACTAAAGTTTGAATGAAAAATAAATCATTCATCATCAATCAGAAACTGTGCCGCCCACAAGGCATTTTTTAATACCATGGACTGGTGGGGCATTTGCCCCACTGGGCCCCTTCCTCTGCCCCACCACTGAAGAAAAAATATAGCCTATTGCCCCAAAGCCAGGGCCCCCAGGACCTGTATTGAGTAACTGAGTTTAACATTGAAAAGAAGTTTAAAAACAAAATTTGTTGGCGAGCATACTTAAACTTATGTTGTGTTTGAATGTTTAGCATGCAATTTATTACAAATTTCACCATTAAAACTTTGTTTTGAGAAGCCGAGATTTTTTTTAAATGTATACTCAGAATGCAGGAAATTCTATTTCAGAGACCCAAATTTTAAAAATTTCCTGGGGGATGCGACCCTCTAGTTAACTCGTGCCTGCGGTACTCTGCTTACACCTCCGGAGATCGCATACTATCCTGGGGAGAGGGCAAAGAAAGTGGGCCTTTTGGCAGTTTTGCCCCACCACTGAAGAATCCTTAAAAAATGCACTGGCCACCCAAATGAAGTTGGCCATTGCTTTGAGCCTGGTTTAAACTGTCAAAGGTTCTGTGATCAGTGTTAAACAACGAGTCAGTTTCCTCAAACATTTCTTACAAATCCTTCAAAACTTAGAATTTACCCATGCAAAATTCCTACTGTGATCACAGAAACTTTGATAGTGTCAACCAGGCTTTATATTCGCTGTGTGAGTTTATTAGTCTGTTAGTTTGACAGTCTGTCAGTGAACAGTGGTGTTGAAAGGACCCCCCCCCCCCCTCCTAAAAAAGTGCACCATTCTACCAGATGAGCTTTAATCCAGGTGGTGGTGGTGGTGGTCAAACCTACCATAATTTACTGTAGAGGAAAGGGTGTACCCCCCGGAAATATCAATAAGATGAGACAGAGAGCTACCATTCACCTTCGCTCTTGGACATTAGTTGGGTGCTCAGTATACTCCAACACGGTGGTATGGAAAACGGCACCCCCCCCCCCCGAAAAATATATAGCCCTCTACAACATGAGCTTGATTCGGGGAAGGGGGGGAGACCTACCATTCACCTTCGCTTTTGGACATTAGTTGGGTGCTCAGTATACTCCAACACGGTGGTATGGAAAAGGGCACCCCCCCCCCGAAAAATCTATAGCCTTCTACAACATGAGCTTGATTCGGGGAAGGGGGGGGAGACCTACCATTCGTTTCATCTTCAGGACAATTATAGCCATCATCCACGCACGTCAACTGATCGGTCGGATGCTCAGTTCCCCACGGCCATAAAATTTGTTCAAAAATTTTTAGTTTGACGCCACTGTCTCGACTGTAGTTAAAGTTTCCTATCGTCTTCACCGTCGCTAGAAAAAATAATTTAGCAATAGTCAGACCAGTTTCAGAAGGCCATTTTTCATGTGCAGAACTTAATTGATGATGTTACTGCTAATGTTACTTACTTTCTCTCATGCTCTTTCTTGTGATATCAACAGTTAACTGCTGTAAACTTAGATGAATTTTAAGAGTACCAGTATCTTTTGTGAACACCGAGGGAAAGCCACCAATTCCTATAGCCATGTAAACAGTGTGAAACATGTTAATGGGCCTATTCCCTAATGAACAAAATTTTGATCTAGACAAGTCTATCACAAAATTAGTAGTATTCCGAAGTGTCGTTGCGAAATGTTGAAAATTGCGGATAATATAGCCCTGCGAAGTTTGCCATTTTTCAGTCAGTTTGTATTACGCACGGGAAATTGATACCCTTTTTCAGAAAGCGGTATCAATTTCCCGTGCGTAATACAAAATGACTGAAAAACCGCAAACTTCGCAGTGCTATATTATCCGCATTTTACAACATTTCGCAACGAAACTTCGGAATAATACTAATTTTGTGATGCTCTTTCAAGCTGTGGTGAAATGTTTGTCTAGACTGGGAAAAAGCGAATCCATCCTGATATCTGCTTGACAACAACCTTGTTACAACTTGTTTACAGATCTATAACAATTTGCGCGTTTTTATCTGCGCAGTTCATTGGGTCGGCAACAACACACGTAAAAATTCGTAAAAACGCACAAGTCGTAACAAACCTGCAGCAGACTTGTAGCAATGTTGTTCAAACAACTTGTCAACAGGATGTGTTCGCACTGCTTGTTCCCAGCCTGTTGACAAGTTGTCAACGGACTGTTATCGTTCTGCAATTCATGAATTTGTCAACAAGTTGTGAGTGACAACCTTGTAGCAACTTGACAAAATAACAGCATTGTTACAACTTGTTGACATGTTTGGTATAAGCTTGTTCCGAACACATCTTGTTGACATCTTGTTTTATGTGTGTAGATGGCCAACTTTCTAAAAATAATAAAATTTTACCACTAACTTACCAATATAAGGGTAACTTCGTAATTCTTCGACGACAGCCTTGGCTGTCACGTTCATATTTCTCTTGTGCAGTCGATCTAACGCCAGGGCATACTGATACACAGCATCGTACAGCGAACTAGCCACCTCACTGATCGTCGTTTGCTTCTACGGTAGTGAGGAATGAAATAAGTAAAGGGTTGCTTTCCGATTGATCTGCATATTTTTATTTATTTATTTAGCTTTGCCAACTAGGGCAGGGTCACCACAACAGCATATGCCAATTACTGTGAGCCCTTTTACCTAACCCACCCTGTCAACTTTCCCTGTGGGAGAAAACCCACGACTTTCGGCAGAGCGTGGACTTTTACTCTTTTCACATGAGGACTGGATTCGAGTCGCATTGAGAAAGTCCTCACTGGGGCTTGAACCTGCGGCCTCAGAGGTGAAAGGCAAGTGCGCCAACCACTTCGCCACCGAAGCCCCTATTGTATTGACATATGACTGTTGACATTGTTTGTTACATGTAGTCTTCAATATTTGAGTGAGTCATGCTTTGGGAATGACAATAAAGTTTTATTACCCAACCCTTGAGCTGTTTTGTTTTTCATTTACCCAACTTTTTACTCACTCAAAATTTGGTTTACCCAACCCTTTTCTCTTCGGTGCCACCCCCCTACATAAATAATGACTGGTGCGCACTGCCGGTCCCTTACTTACCGAGATGCTATCATAGACAGTTGTGGAATTGAACGGTGGATCATATTCAGTTCGGTTCACTAGCTTCCCTCGAAACGTTTCATAACGTTCAGTGTTCACAGGTTCGGCATTAGAAATAATCAACAAGGACCTAGATCCTTTCATCGCGCGATACATCACATCCACTTGGGGGAACGCATAGGGACTGAAGAAGATCTCGGATTGACGTACGTAATTTTTTCGCCGTTTGCTTGCGTCTAATTGGAAACCAACGAATACTCGATGTGGCCTGTTCGTCTCGGTCAAACCAATAGTATAGGCTTGAGCCATGATTTCCACCACCAAGTCGAACGATGTGAGAAGGACAAATACTATAGAAAAGACAAATACTATAGACAAATACTATAGGGTCAGGTCATTATGATATAGTTTTTTTTGCACTTCACTTGGTTGAAACTGAATATTGGAGTACATGGATAATCCAAGTGACTACATATATACACTTTTTTAAAATTTTCTTGCACTCAAGTAAACTGCAGAAAAAATCTTTCAAGTTCACCTTATGCGAACACAACTTGCAGGGTGTTAGCTACAGTCAAAAATTCCGCGTTAAACGCGGTTTTCCCGATTACCTTGAGGTCGCAATTTCCCAATTTGGGTCAGCCAAAAAATAGTTATACAAATTTAATGTTGTTAATACGCCATTAAAAACATGTTTATAACTACGTTTGCTCAAAATTACTCCCAAAATGCGGGAAATGCCATTTCAAAGACACAAAAATTTTAAAAATCGCGAGAGGGCAATCGCATGCCCTCAGACCCACAAAGAAATGCCCGGCTTCAGGCTAAAATGAATTTCCCAATTTCAGGTAAACGCGGATTGTTTTTACTTCTGGCTAACACCCTGACTTGTCGACTGCTTGTGAACAGATTTGTTCGCAGACTTGTAACAGCTTGTGCGTTAACGCTTGATGGGATTATCAGACTTGTTACAAGGTTGTTCTGACAAATCTGATACAGTCATGATATAACAAGCATGTTGCAAGGGTGACGACACAAGATTGTAACAGTATTGTTATATCAAGGCTGTATCAGACTTGTCAGAACAACCTTGCAACAAGTCTGATAATATCAACAAGGTTGTCACAAGTTGTTAACAGCTTGTTTCAACCTTGTTGACAACTTGGAAGTTCCGGCAAGCAATGCGAACACAGCTTGTCGACAGCTTGTGAACAGATTTGTTTGCAGACTTGTGACAACTTGTGCGCTTGTATCTCTCTCAGTCGGCAGCTATCCAAGCAAGCCAGCTTACCTTTTATCCGTTTCTCCACAGCCATAACAGTCAATACTTCACGCACTTTCTCCAACGATCGATTTCTTTGCACCAATTCTGGATATTGTAGAAAATTTTCTCCAAATTGTTGAAATTTCAACAGCTTCGGTACCTCCTCGCTGGCTATGATATGCAGGGAGGTTTTTTTCGATATTGCACTCCTAACATCTTGCCATAATAGGCCGCCTTCTTCGTATATCACGCCGATTCTTGTCCAATTTTGTTTCTCCAAAAGAGTAAACAAAGCTGTGGCCGCTTGCGTGTTGGTATTTTGAAATGTTTGAACAAAAAGTGGGTATTCGTCTTTCGTAAAGTTGCCTCGTTCCGAGCAATGCTAGATGGGTAAACGATATTTTAATTTAATAACCTCATTAATAATTCATGAGGAAAAAACAGAGGAAATCACTACCGTGCTGGTGGTGAGAAAAAAATCATATTCACTTAGGGAGTGTTCATTGTTGATACCCGGGGTTGGTACCGAAGAGAAATGGGTTGGGTAAGCCACTTTTCTGGGGTATGAAGGGTTGGGTAAATTATTTCCAATACAAACCTTCAATTGAACAAAATATGAAAATCCTTTATTTAACAAAATGGGTCATTCCAGGAAATATCCATTCATTCCCCACAAAGAAAACTAAACTCCACCTCCCCATCCCCTCTGATTACAACAACGAGATATGGTAGGACTGCAGGAACTTGGAGGCTTGGGAACATAATATGAACTTGTGAAGGTACAAATGATTATATTTCACATTCAGTTATTGCACCAAATATGCATAGTACTGTTTATACTATAGTGGCCTAGCTTGTATAATATAATATATATGTATATATGTAAAATACTTGTATAATTTTGAAATTGGGTTGGGTAAAATAAAAATCCAAGTCATGCAATAGTTGGGTAGGGAAAAAAATGGTTGACCGAAAGGGTGGGTGGTTGTTTTTTTTTCTCTTTTCGATTAGTTTCTCTTGGGTACCAACCCCAGGTATAAATAATGAACACTCCCTTACATAAACTGTACTTCGATTTTCTCGGCATATACAACGTTTATTTTTAAAGCCATTTAAAACACTCGCAGTCCGTGCGTTATCAGATACGAAACCAGCGACGTAACTGGAGGGTCCCCCTCGAGGAAGAGGCCCGCAGAAAATAACCATAAAATGTTTGCTAGTACATTGGGCAAATTGGCCCGAACTTCAGTTAGAGAGGGTCAGAAAATTTGCAACGGGTAGCCCCCAAAAGCAGGAATCAGTGAAATTGTGAAATTTGGATCCCTTTTTTCGTAGACATGGATAGGGAAAACTTTATTTGACTTTGTTTTACTTGTCATAGTTTTTCAATTTTTAGTTCAATTTTTTAACACCTATTTTTAAGGAATATAGTTCGAAAATGTTTTTCTCTCCCCCCCCCTTGCCAACGTTTTTGGGGAAAAAATAAGGCCACACTTAAAAATTTGACGGGGGGGGGGCTCAGAAGGTTCCGTTACGCCACTGTATGAAACAAACACTCGAGCTGCGCTCTCGTATTTTATATCTGATAGAGCACTCCTGCTCGTATTTAAAATAGTACATAGCTACAGGGTGTATAAAAAAACCCGTGTACAGTCCGAAAATATCCGCCAAACTGCAAATTACGCAAAATTTGTGAAAAATTTATGCATGCGTGGGTATTCTGGGGGTAATTATTAAAACTATTTTAAAATTGAACTGAAGGAACTCTTATTAAGAGAGTTCTTAGCTACGTCATAATTTTAATTAACTAGTTTTGTAATCTTTAGGGCTACGTTGTTTGTTCTTTTTCTATTGATTCTAAAAAGCCCCTTTTGGGGATGATCAATAAATTCTTACAATTGCAATTACAAAAATCAATTATGCATAAAATCAGTCATGCGTGTGACGGCCCAGCCCAGGGGTCGCGCGTAGGGCTTAGTGTACATCAATAAATGTTATTGACTAGCCCCCACCCCCCTCCCTTTCCACCCACCCTGATAGAGTCGTTCAGTACAAATTTAGTTAAATATACTTACATAAGATATCATGGGTATGTTGAATGCCTGAGCAACTTTAGCTGGGGCAGTGCAACTATCCGCTGGGCCGATAAACACATCTACAGGAGTATTTGGCGTAGGCTGTGCGTCACAAGTTACATTCGGCGGTGCAATGTATTTCTGATACATTGATCGTACAACTTCGCTACTGTCCGTACTATTTGTCCAACTGTAGGTCAGGTTATGGCCAGGGAGGATTCTGGGATCATTGTTGACGTCATCCATCGCAATGGTCAGCGCATGCGCATAAGCTCGACCTGAGGTGGCGTCGTCCTCCCTGCCGTAGACTAACGGAATGTAAAATCCCATATGGTAGGCGGTGGAGAGTTGGAGGAATGTCAGAAGGAGAAGTGGTGTTCTCGTCATCGTTTGCCAGATCTTAAAACACACGATAAAGGACCAATCTGTAGAAAATGGGAAGACATTACAGTTAATTCATTTAGATAGAGTCTCAGAGATGTAGGTACAGGGGAGGGGAATTGGGGGGAAGAGGGGAATTTTGGGT